GAGGCCCTGGGTGGAGCCTCTGACCAGCAGGACTCACAAAGCGCTTCCCAGAGGCTCCCCTGTGTTGCCTGGTCCTCCAAGGGTTGTGGAGGAAGATGGGCCCCCTGGAGTGGGCATCACCTCTTGCTGATACACTCGGCTTCCCCAGATCACCTTGAACTATGGGACCACAAGCATGATCCAGCAGAGCCGTGATGATCCCATCCCTCGCCCCATCTCTCTTCTGAATCTCACCACGTTTGCTGCCTATCTCTTTCCCCTCACTCAAGAGTCTTCTACTCACATCTGTCCCTTAAATTATGCCCATGTGTTTTGATGACTCTAGAATCCAATAGAAATGGGCTCAAATTTCAGTTCTAGCACATTTCAGCTGACAGTGGGAAAGTTATTTCAATTTCCACATCTATGAAATGGGGATAATGAAAGAGCCTCCCAACCGGGGTTTGTGGGAAGATTTAACAAGAGATGGCACCAAAATGCTTTAGTACAGTGCCCAGCACTCAGTAAATGTTCAGCATTCACTGTTCTCCCCCAGGGACAACCTCCCTGTCTAAAATGTGTCCACACTTGAACTTGATAGCAGTGGGAGGGTGGTCCCTCAACCATGGTCGTTCAGCTGGGCCACAGTAGTCCAGAACTTAGACTCAGCTAAATTCAGACAGGTAACTTTGGGGGACTGATTCACATTGACCAGACTCACAGGGAACTGAGGCACCCGGCAAGTTACCACCCCCTTACTTTCCTTGGGACACTGGCCTTTTCTGACACTGGGAGCCCCCACTTGCCATCCTGGGCATCTGTGTCCTGGTGCCAGGTGCCCAGGAACCTGCTTTGGGAGTGTGGAGGCAGAACCCCAAAAGTGAAGAGCCTGGAGCCATAGTAGGGCTGCTGCTGGAGCAGGGGCAAGAGACAACCCACAAAGAATCTCAGGTGCTAAACTGAGAGACTCGATTTTCATCTTGAGGCCTGCAGGCATACCTGAATGATGCGGAGCCAGGGGTTGACATGAGCTTGGCACTTGAGCAAAGTCACTCTGCTGCTGGGCCAAACTGGAGCCAGTGTGGGAGCTACCACTGGGACCCGTGTGGAGGCCTCAGAGCCCTGCCGTGGGAAACGCGGCAGGCAGATGCTCAGCCAGGAGTCAAGGAGGTGGTGCCTGAGCAGATGGAGGCGATGGGGGGATTCCATTCCGGACTGCTGGGGAGGTGGTCGCGTCATCCCCAGATCAAGAGCTTCCTGGAGAAGCCAAAGATCGGGGAGAGGTAATGAGACCAGCTCAGGACCTGCGGGGCCTGGGGTCCTGTAGGCGGCTGGCCCCGTGGCTGGGCACTCAGCGGCAGAGTGGGGCTGGAGACCGAAATCACGGAGTCCTCAGCACGGCCGTGGGAGCCTGGGAGGGAGACGGGACTGTTCAGCGAGAGCAGAGAGGAGGACCTGGGCGGGCCCCTGAGCAGCACAGCTGGAAGGGAGGAGTCGGCAAGATGCCAGGCGGGCAAGGCCAGAGAGGAAGGAGGAGAACCAGGAGAGCATGGGGCGACGGGGCCAAGGGGGAGACGCTGAGAAGGCGGCAGGGTCGTGGGCTGCAGGGAGGTCAAAGGAGATGACGGATGCGCAGCACCTGCAGGTGGCACAAGCGCGACCTTCTGAGGCCAACCCCAGTGTGGCTCTTAAGTGCTTCTGGCATCAAACTTTGCCCTCAGAGGCCCTTGAATCAGAGGGGTGGTTGGGGGGTGGGAGGGTTAGGAGGGGGTCTGAAGAGTATGGTCGCAGGAAGCCAGCAGTTCTTTATGTTGTT